TGATTTATGGAGTGATAAAAAGAGAAATCCAAAAACTTTTGACTGGAATATGTACCAAAAATGAAGAACTTTGAACCTGACTTCATCCAATGTTCAGATTTTTGTTTTTAGATATTTACGCAAATGAGTGCATATTTAATTAGACAGTGTCTCATTTGCATATTTTTAATACATTTTTTTTGTTGCTATTTTTATCAGTCAACTGAGGAAGAATATATTTTTTACACTATTCAGGGGTGTCTTGCCTTAAGTTCAGCATCTTGGTCTTAAGTTGGCTGCATGGTTCCTCAGAGATCCAGTTCTTGATGTTTCAGTGTGTTCCTCAGATCAGTGATGCATCAGAAGCAAAGGCATTGATTAAAAATGAATGTAAAAAGTTCATGCAGTGACATCACACTGCACTCTTTTTGGAACTAAACCAAATAAAGTTCCATTGAGAACCTCACCCGTTCCAAAAAAGTAGTTTCATTATATTATAGCCTAGTGAAAAAAGGGTTTTTCAAATTATTAAAACGGTTTAAAAGTTGTTGTTTTTTGTGAACCAAAAATGTCATTTCTGCGAAAACAACCAAATCATTTGTTAAAGCAAACCCCTGGAGATATTTTTTGTATTATTTTTTATTTTCATGGCGAGGTCATGAACGACAGCGCTCCTCAGTTTCTGATTAATAGAAGCGATTATAGAATAGAATATTCGACGTCGCGCGGAAAGCTTTGATCTCGCCTCTCATGCATTTATGTGAATGGGTTTGTGAAAAATACGGTATCAGGAGGGCGACACAAAGGTTCATTCAAACAGTCCAGCATTCCTGTTGAGTAATATTAGAGTTTGGCATTCATAACAAACTATACACTTTCTCAGAAACATATTTTGTTCATCGGCGATTGCCTTGTTCCTCGGATCTCAGGCTCTCGTCGTTTAGAACAAGGAAGAAGAATGTCTCGAGCGACACAGCTTCCCAGGTTTCCCCAGAGAGGTGCCATTGTGACCGCCAGGAAGCTCTCGAACCTGCGAAGTATAGAATAACACGTCTTTTTTCCCCTCTCCTATAGATTTCAAAAGCACAGATCTCTGTTCCTGCTTGAAGAAGCCGATCTTGACGCGAAACACAGTACGGATGCATTCAAATACGAATAAAAAAGTTGCATTTTAAATGAATCCTGTAGTGGCCTGGAGTGGTCCTGTATTGCATTTTCCTTTCTTAAAGACGATGTCACTTTAGGAAAAATGGGCGGATGGTCCCAAGAGAGAGTCGTTTTTTTTTTTTTTTTTTTTTTTTTTTTTTTTCAATACATCGCCGATCCTAACAGTCGCGTGAAATATGCATTGCTTTATACCGACATTCATTTAGCATTAATTCAGCTCCATATTCTAGAAACATGCTATAGCAATAAAACCAAAATATATATATATTCCATATAATTTATTGGTGACATTCCTCCAGATGTTTAGCTTTCAGTGTCGAACAATGCAGTTGTGATGCACTATACTCTGCTTACAGTGTTCAAAACGTGAGCTGACGCCATTACATATATGTAGACTTGTATTTGAATGAAGTAATAGGAAACTGGAGAGGGATTGTTCAAAGACAACAGTGTTATTCTTACTACTAATCTCTTCTGAAGAAAAAAATCTTTGATATTTGGAAGAAACTATATGTCATCAATAACTTAAAAACATATAAACAAAAATAAATATGTATTACATTAGTAATATACAAAGTACTCCTGATTGCAGTTTAAGAACAGTAGCCTATCACATGTAAGTTAAAAAGCATCTGTTTTTTTTTTTATGTGTATGGATCTTTGTTTTCTACTTCAGTAAGAAAAAAGTGCTTGTCTTTACACCACCATACATAACACGTCGTCGGCATCGTCAAGCACTCGTACAACGTCCTAATTTACCATTACATTTACTCTACTAAAAAAAAGTAAATGACTGTACATCTATGTACAATAATTACACGTCTTTTACAGAGAACATGACGTGGTGCATGTCATAAAAAAAGCTAAACTTTCAGTAGTGTTGATTTTGGTCACATGAACATCTTAATAATTCAGATACCGGGCTTTAAATGTCACTCTCATAATTCCTCCAAAGTTTTCTTGAAAATCATCCTCTGGTGAGAAAATTGTTCCATGTGACTCTCAGTGGATTTCTTCTCCATCTGTGTCGAGAGCGCGTTAAATGTCAGGCCTTCTGCTGGAGCCCCTGTGTCGTCGTCTCCTGCGCTCTGCCCGCCCGACAGGGGCCCGGTGAGAGCCCGTCGGGTGCCGCTGGCTCTCTCTGAGCTTGCGCACCATCTCATGGTCCTTGTTGCCCAGAACACGGGGCAGAAAGAGGGAAGCTTTGTCCGTGCTCCGCGTCTTAAAGCCCCTCCTGGGCCGGCCCTTTCCATTGATGGAGACGTACCACTGCCTTTTAGAACTGGCGCGGCGCTTGCCGGCCCCGGCACCGGACCCTGCCGGGGGAGGCTGGGTCGTGGCGTGGTGCCGTGACGCGTAGGTGTTGTATCCGAGCTCGTGAATGCGCTCCAGGAACTCACACTCTCTGTTGAAGAGTTCCTGAAAGGGTTAAAAAAAAATGTTATTAGCCTTTTTCAATGTTTCTCATCTTGACTGGACCTGGCTCAGTGTGGCCACAAAGAAGTCAAGACATTTAAACTGGTCAAAACTCGGCACATTCACTGGGAAAAGGAAAAAAAAGTGGCTGCCTTAAATTTTTTAAGTACAATCAACTTAAATTGATAACTTACTGATCATATGTGATTTTCAACACCTCTGCATAAAGATTCCAAAATGGGGTTTCTTTACACACTCTAAACAATGCTGGGTCGTGTTAACCCAAATTTGGGTCAAATATGGACGAATCCAAATGTTGGGTTAAAATGTCGTTTAAAATTTGAATCCAACTTCAACTTTCACTTTCAATTGTAATTTTTTTTATTACATTTTTAACCCAGCATTTGTCCATATTTGACCCAAATTTGGGTTGAAACAACCCAGCATTTTTTTTAGGGTGTGAGGTTTCTTTACACACTCTAAACAATGCTGGGTTGTTTTAACCCAAATTTGGGTCAAATATGGACAAACCCAAATGTTGGGTTAAAATGTTGTTTAAAATTTTAACCCATTAACTTCAACTTTCAATTTCAACTCTACATTTTTAAAAAACATTTTCAACCCAACATTTGTCCATATTTGACCCAAATTTGGGTTGAAACAACCCAGCATTTTTTAGGGTGTGAGGTTTCTTTACACACTCTAAACAATGCTGGGTTGGTTTAACCCAAATTTGGGTCAAATATGGACAAACCCAAATGTTGGGTTAAAATGCCATTTAAAATTTTAACCCAACTTCAACTTTCACTTTCAACTGTTCATTTTTTATTACATTTTTAACCCAACATTTGTCCATATTTGACCCAAATTTTGGGTTGAAACAACCCAGAACTTTTTAGAGTGTGGGGTTTATTTACAGACTGTAAACAATGCTGGGTTGTTTTAACCCAAATTTGGGTCAAATATGGACAAACCCAAACGTTGGGTTAAAAATGTAATTTAAAATGTTAACCGAACTTCAACTTTCAATTTCAACTGTATATTTTTTTTAACATTTTCAACCCAGCATTTGTCCATATTTGACCCAAATTTGGGTTGAAACAACCCAGCATGTTTTAGAGTGCTGGGTTTCTTTACAGACTGTAAACAATGCTGGGTCGTTTTAACCCAAATTTTGGTCAAATATGTACAAACCCAAATGTTGGGTTAAAATTTAATTTAAAATGTTAACCCATTAACTTCAACTTTCAATTTCAACTCTACATTTTTAAAAAACATTTTCAACCCAACATTTGTCCATATTTGACCCAAATTTGGGTTGAAACAACCCAGCATTTTTTAGGGTGTGAGGTTTCTTTACACACTCTAAACAATGCTGGGTTGTTTTAACCCAAATTTGGGTCAAATATGTACAAACCCAAATGTTGGGTTAAAATTTAATTTGAAATGTTAACCAAACTTCAACTTTCAATTTCAACTGTACATTTTTTTAACATTTGTAACCCAGCGTTTGTCCATATTTGACCCAAATTTGGGTTGAAACAACACAGCATGTTTTAGAATGCAAGAACCATTTTCAACTTTTTAGTGAACAGTACTTAAAATAACCAATTGTTCTTAGTGTGGAGAACATTCTAATAATCTAAAGAACCATTTAAGAACCTTTTGTGGAGTGGAAAGGTTCCATGGATGTTGAAGGTTCTTTATGGAACCGCATCAAAACCAATAAAGAACCTCTATTTTGAAGTGGTTATCACTCTCTGCTGGCCATAACTTTTTTAAGTGACAAGGTCCCCGGTGAGTCAAGTAATCAAGCTCTTAGTGATGTAGCAGCACACTCGTTCCGCATGAAAAACACCACCATGTGGCGAGAGCCTCAAATAGCCCTGCTTGTTATCTGATCCCACTGCCAGCCGAATTTCAGATACTTGATTTTCCGACGTGACATAACACTTACCGAAGCATACAGACGGCCTTTCTCATTCATAGCCAGGTATCTTCCCGAAAACAGGCCCTTGATCGCCACCACACCGACATCGACAGCTGTGATCTCGAGTATGCCTAGGGGAAAGAGTGGGGCACTAGTTAGTGCGCATGCTAGAAAAGTGAAAAACACTGATAATAGCATTTTAAAATTGCGCATTGTAGGATTCAATACAGGGCCAGCCGAGTAAACATGTCATGATCGCAGTTTATCATTCAATGACATTGAAAACCCAACAGTTCAGGTCAAATGTGAACAAACCCAAACGTTGGGTTAAAAATTTAATAAACAAATTTAACCCAATTGCTGAGTTTGTCCATATTTGACCCAAAGTATAAAGCAATTTTTAGAGTGTTGTATTGTAAGTGTGTATAAATTAAGTTTGTTTACTATATTAGCAATTAATATCAATTGATTTGCTATAAATATAATTGATTGATTTTAACTTATCATTAAGTTAAACACAATGTAAACCACATTAAATATAAAATGCATTTGTTTCCAATAAGGTTCATTGTAAACAATTCATTTAGCCGTTTTAAATGTATCCTGTCATATTTATATAGTGTTTTTCGTTTATTGAGTCGGGGTCTACACAGACCACGCTGTCAGGTTAGATACACAGACACTAAACGCCTCTTAAAGAGGATGTTTATTCATCCTTTTTTCCACTGATTAATGGCTCTCCTCATTCTTCTGTTTGGAATAATCATCCTTTTACGTTGGATAAACACATCCGTTGTCTAAGTCATTATGTTAAACTGTCTGCTGAATCCTGTTTTCATATGGTAATTGTCCATGAGCACTCGGATTCGACTAATTGGAAAACTACGGATAAACGAATGCATCAATTTAAAGAAATGATCATACCAAATGTACAAATATTCTACTCCCTGACCGCGAATTGATATTACGATGTAAGCTGGAGTGTCACAAAATAATGGGATATATACAGTGACCTAATTTTTGACTTATTAATAGTTGCTTTAATCTCCCTTTACGGTGATAAGAATGCTGATTAAAATGTCCTCTGCTCCTTAATGGCCGAATCATTGTTCGATGTTAATTTAAAATATCCCGTTAATTTTGTCAGCGCGCAAATGTGTATTCGCGCAATTACGCAAGTCTCTGATCATTTAATAAATTGACATGAGAAGCGTGAGAAGAGTTTACTCACTGAAAGGGTTGTTTTCGTCAAGAGATCCGTCTATTTTTCCGTTCGGGTGTATTTGCAAATGATATTTCGTGGCGCAGTAAAGTTTCCTGCGTCTTGGAGCTCCGCCGAGGTGCTCGTAAACCCCGCCGCGTCCTCCAGCATCGCGCCGCGTCCTCGGGTCACACTCCTGGCCCCTGACACAAGGAGCCCTCGGGCTCCTGCTCAGCCTCGGAGCCAGAGATTCCTGCAAACTCGGATCCAAGGAGCTCAGTAACAACAAGAGCAGAATTATAACCATTGTGGCATGGCGGGATGTCGGCAAAACCTCGCTGGAATGGAAAGAGCTGGTCCCATCAAAGAAGTTTCACTTGTCAGTGATCCAACATTTTAAAAGAAAACTTGCTGTATCCTTCTTCAATAATGCGTCGCGGTCATCCGGCTTGGTGGTGCTCATGGGTTCCACTCTGCTCTCCAAACACACACACTGACTGTATATCTGACCGAGGAGGAGAAAACAGTCAGCCAGTCGAGCCTGTCGTGAGATTTCGCTGATCGACAGTGTGTGCGCAGAAATAAAAGAGCCCTCCTGCAACAATAGCCCGAACCCCGACCAATTGATACAAAGGAAAGGGGAGGCAAGGTATCAGTCTTGTGTGAACCAAGAGGTTGCAGCGTGGATAAAATTACACAGCAGCACTACACACGGTGGCTTACAGAGGAAAACCGCATCACAAAGAGAGAGAGAGACATCCAAGCGCACAGTTCGCTTCTTTTCAAAGAGCCGAAAATTATATTTAAGCATTAACACCGGCCCTGTGGCTGGGCGAGAGCCACTATTAATTCTCTTTTCATGCTTGTTGGCACATCTCGACAGTGATGTTAACATTCATAGACACACGCACGTGCTTTCAATGATCCGCATTTGCGTATGGAATGGCTTGATAAATAAGTCACTTCCATAGAACAAAAGTTGGGTTATGCATTTATTAATAGACCGATTTTAGATTCCCAGCATTTTGTATCCTCTTAAATATGAACGAAATCATGAATCAGCGACAATTTTACGCCTAAAATAGCTTCTTCAAACAACCCACGATCGCCTAGATGTCAGCCATAAATTCAAAATATTGCATAGGCTATATCAGCACAGGTAAATCGATCAAGACGTGTTTTTTGTCCATTCAGCGCGGCTGTATTTCCCTGCTATTTGAAATGCATTAATCCAAGTGCCGCTTCGCGAAGTTTGCGTCCTGATTTTGAAAGAATTCAATCATTTTTTTCCCCCATCAGGCCATGGAAATAAAAACACGCATCTTCTCGACTCTCAGGAATGAACCAGACTGCAAGTGCGACTCAAAGCTGTGTGTGCTTGCTATAGTGGGTGGAAGAGTAACACGCAAATGACTTCTGCCTAAATTGCTTCCATCTTGGTCGCATTATGGTTGCCATTCTCGTAATTAGCACCATCATCTACAAATCTCCCTGCCCTTTGGCGCAACACCAGCGCATGCTATTGAGGACCTCGTGGGAAGGCAGCCTTCATTTGTCTTCGCTTTCCATACCCTGACTGTTCGTCAGTCGCACAGGCTATAACTGCTCGTAATAACTTATTAGTCGCGCTGCAGTCAGAGCAGACCCGGCGTGAGTGTGTGTGTGTGTCAAGACTAGACGGAGAGTAGATACGAGCCTATATACTGATGCTCTGGTGACCATCTCTGAGAGAGACGCGCTTGATGTGGTTTGATCCTGACAGTGGGTTGCATTTCTGATGTGGTCGGCTGTTTCTTTCTGGAAGTATTTTAATTACGGCCCACAGCCGCCCACAAAGCCCAGCAGTAATAATCAGTATGAGAGAGAGAGAGAGAGAGAGAGAGAGAGAGAGAGAGAGAGAGAGAGAGGAGGGGGTGTTCACTCAGGATGTTGCCTGAACGGTTTAATCGTATCATGTTAAAGTATTTTCGGTAACACTTAATTTTACGATGCCCTTGTTACACATGTTACATGTGTACACTCTAAAAATTGTTGGGTTGTTTTAACCCAACTTTGGGTCAAATATGGACAAACCCAGCCATTGAGTTTCATTTTTTTAAATAACATTTTTAACCCAACGTTTGGCATTGTCCATATTTGACCGCAAAGTTGGGTTAAAATAACCCAGCATTTTTAGAGTAATAACTGAAAATCATGCAACTAACCCTAAACCAAACCATAACCCTAACCCTATAAGTACATGTACAGTATTACTCAGTACACTATAAAAAAAAATGCTGGGTTGTTCTAACCCAATTTTGGGGAAAATATATGGACAAACCTAGCCATTGGGTTACATTTTTTAACTATATTTTTAACCAACTATTTTACCCAAAATTGGGTTAAAACAACCCAGCCTTTTTTTTTTCTCGAGTGTACTCAAACACATAATAACTTTATCTTCTTCGCAACCCTTTGCTTTTTTAAATTAAACAAGATGGGAAATTGGATATGTCATAACGCCAACAGGTTAAGCTACAGGGTTGAAATCACTATCATGATAGATTATAATTGGATTTGTGGGTCTAGGAATAGATTTTAAATGACAGAACTGCTGTCATGAATAAGCAGGTTCTCTTGTTTAATTTGATATAATGATATAATATGTAAGCTTATCGTCTTATTTTACGAAAATTAAAAATTTGTGGCCGAGCAGGTGGGAGGACTGTAACACACTTCAAAGAGAAGAGTGAGACAACACGAGACAGTCAGTGTATTAGCAAAACTGTAAAAAAAAAAAAAAAAAAAAAAAAAATTAATTATTAGAATGACCAACACATACAACACAATGTCAGGTTTGCACATTTTTATGACTTTTTATGTTGAATTTATATGTTTCCTATACTTTGAAATATTGAGTTGTTTCAACTAATTGTTTTTAATATGTAAATTCTTTAGCCACAATAAATAAATACACAATAAATGAGTTCAGGCCACCAGCACTCTTTACTCAACTTTCATTTATGACATAAGACAGACATTGTATTAATGTTTGAGATAGACAAAACTACAAAAGCCACTGCTAAGTGAAGTGTATGTTAGACATCAGTCACCTATATTGATATATGTAATGAAATATTTGCATTTTTTTTCTGATTTTTACAGTTAGTTATAGCTAACTTTTTTATTTGCAAAAATATACTGACCTGTGTTTATCCTAATTGTAAACTATTTTAATTATATTTACTCTAGTTTGACTTGTTTACTCTCAATATTTATTTATATGATTTCGGTTGTGCAATTGATTCTGTGATGTTTACTAATATTTTTGACTTGAATAGACTTAGATGTCACCATATAAACAAAAATATATGATATAATATTTTTAGAGTCGATAAAGTTTCCAATTAGAACAAAACGGTTTTTTAGGTTCTTTTCCATTTTTACTTCACTGTAAAAAAAAAAAAAAAAATTGTTGGTTTAACTTAAAAAAAGGAAGTAACCTTAAGTTTAACTTAAAAAATTGAGTAAATACAATGGAGATTAGTTTAATCAACAGAAAATCAAAATGTGATGTTATCTGAACCACATAAATTATCTAAGTTGATTAAACTTAAAACTCTTTTTTTTTAAGTTAAACTCAAGGTAACTTCCTTTTTAAGTTAAACCAACAATATTAACTCATTTTTTTAGGTTAAACCTAAGGTTACAGTGCTGGAAAAAAAATAATTGTTGGTTTAACCTAAAAAAAGGAAGTTACTTTAAGTTATCTAAACTTAAAAAAATGAGTTAATACAATGAAGGAGATTAGTTTAATCAACAGAAACTCAAAATATGATGTTATCGGAACCACATAAATGATCTAAGTTGATTAAACGAATCTTTCCACTGTATTAACTCATTTTTTTAAGTTAAACTTTAAGGTAACTTCCTTTTTAAGCTAAACCAACAATATTAACTCATTTTTTTAAGTTAAACCTAAGGTTACTTCCTTTTTAAGTTAAACCAACAATATTAACTCATTTTTTAAGTTAAACCTAAGGTTACTTCCTTTTTGAAGTTTAACCAACTAAGATTTTTTAACAGTGAAATACAGCTGAAAAAAAATAATTGTTGGTTTAACTTAAAAAAGGAAGTTACCTTAAGTTACTTAAACTTAAAAAAAATGAGTTAATACAATGAAGGAGATTAGTTTAATCAGCAGAAACTCAAAATATGATGTTATCGGAACCACATAAATGATCGAACAAATAACTTTTTTACTGGTGTTTTAAAAAGCACATGAAGAAAATGTATTAATTCTGCAAACCTTTTAAGATTTCGGTGCTTCAAAGAATCAAGTGAACAAGATTTTTAATAGTCATAAACGATTAATTTTTTGGCTCCTTTGCAGAAAAGGAGGTTCCATAATCCAGACCAAATCAAGCTGACCTCTGAACCTTTTCGGCTGCACTTTTTCTCATGCCATGTTTTTTTTTTTTTTTTGCGCTAGTGATCTGAGGGCCTTGGCTAGAGCCAGACGGGAATGCCTCTCGTCCCCTGACAAATCACCGTTGAGCCCCTTTTGTCCGGGTTCACTTTGATCTCACCTGCTTGTCAGGGGCTCAGAAAGAACTCCCGTACAGTCCCAACGCACTGCAAACAAATTGGCAAGCACTTTATTCTCATACCTCATTACCCCAGGTTGGTTTGGGAAAAAAAGGTTAACCTCTTTAAATACCCGATTATACAAAGCATTTTCATGAGTATGTTTTGGAGCGTTTGTTCCGCTCATTGACGCGAGTTTGTCTTATTCTTGTGCCAGAGAGCCCTCAACAGAGCCTCACATCATGTCCACCGTGTCAGCAGAACGACTTACGGGATGCGTTCATAAACGCTGGCCGTACCGCCTCATTGCACCTTTTCCATTTCATAGATGTCAGAAGTGTTGGATTGATTTCGGTGCTGTTGGTCGAACACGCCAAAGGACACTTTGAACTGATTTTAATGCTGATTCCAATTCCCAAGGGACAGATCATCTAGCTCATGACACACACTTTTCATAAATCTCAAAGTGATTCGCCAGCAGCTCTCTCTCGCTCTCTCTCACACTCTCTCTATTCCTCTCCCACACTTCATCTTGAAACCAGATAGGTCTTCCTTATACCTCTGCAGCCCTTTGATTCTTAGCTGCAGGTCTCAAATACCTTTTGGGAGGACAGTGGATTTCTCTGCACCTTCCAACAGTCAAATGATTGTGGTGGCCTGTAACTGTATAAGGCATCAATGAGCGCTCGGGGAGAGCGAAGAAAACAATCGACACATTTTGCGGCCGCTACACATTTCACTAAAAAAAAAAAAAAAAAAAAAAAAGCGATCGTGGACTGTTACGGTCCGAATCTTTCCAGTACAGTACCGTCCCTTCCTGCTCTTTCTGTGGGACAGGAACACAACACACCGCTCATGCCGACAGTGACGAAGCAGCTGTCGATGACTCATTTGAAACTCAATGTCACCTAATTTCCCTTAAATATAAGGCCATTGACAGAGGGGATG